CCTCACATTGGGAACACATAGTCGGTTTTGAAATTTGAGCACTGAATCTACTACACCGAATCCCGGTTTTGGTTTTGTTTCGAACTCATCATGTATCGTCCTCAAAGTTTCATCTTCCATTTGGCGCACTTTAATCTCTTCAAGTAAGGTTGGTTGTGCTACTATCGCTGCTATTAGGGCTTTTTGACCATGTAACACAAGGTTCAATTCTTCCTTATCCAATTCAATTGCCAAGTCCTTTTGTCCTGTAACCATACTTGCCATATCTGCCGAAATCCCCATATTTTTCCGACTGAGCGCATCTGCAACTGTGTTGGCTTTACCAGGATGATAATGAATCTGCAGGTCATAATCTTTCAAAAGTTCCAACCAACGTCGTTGCCGCATATTTAATTCTTTCTGAGTAAAAAGGTACTTGAGACTTTTATGATCAGTGTATACCTCACAAGTGCTACCATACAAATAATGTCTTCATATCTTTAAAGCAAAGACTACTGCTGCTAGCTCCAGATCATGCGTGGGGTAATTCTTCTCATGGGGTTTCAGTTGCCGAGAAGCATAAGCGATGACTCTTCCATTTTGCATAAGTACACAACCAAGCCCTTTATGCGAAGCATCACTGTAGATTACAAATCCTTCTGTACCGGATGGCAAAGCCAAAACTGGCGCTGTTGTCAACCTTGTCTTCAATTCCTGGAAGGCAGATTCCCGCTCTTCTGACCATTCGAATGTAACTCCCTTTCGAGTCAGTTGTGTAAGTGGCACAGCAATCTTAGAAAAATCTTGAATAAATCTCCTGTAATAGCCAGCTAACCCCATAAAACTACGCACCTCAGTCACGTTAGTAGGAGTTGGCCATTTCACAATTGCTTCAATCTTGTACGGGTCGACGGAAACTCCTTCCTCCATAATAACGTGCCCCAAAAATGCCACTTCTCGTAGCCAGAATTCACATTTCTTCAGCTTTGCATACAGTTTCTTCTCCCGGAGGGTTTGCAGGATCAAGCGAAGACGGTTCTCATGAGCTTCTACATTCTTTGAATAAATGAGAATATCATCGATAAAGACCACCACAAATTCATCCAAATAGGGCTTGAAAACACGGTTCATCAAATCCATAAAAGCTGCTGGTGCATTTGTGACTCCGAAGGGCATGACCAAAAATTCAAAATGATCGTACCGGGTTCGAAATGCTGTCTTCCCAATATCATCAGCCTTGACCTTTAATTGATGGTATGGAGACCGTAGATCAATCTTAGAAAAGACTTGTGCCCCCTGAAGCTGATCAAATAGGTCATCGATTCTTGGCAATGGATACTTATTCTTGATTGTAACTTTATTAAGTTCCCTGTAATCGATACAAAGTCGGAGTGTTCCATCCTTCTTCTTTACAAACAGAACTGGTGCACCCCACGGAGACACACTCGGATGGATAAATCCCTTGTCCAGTAACTCTTGCAACTGCATTTTCAATTCCTTCATCTCAACTGGTGACATTCTATACAGAGTCTTCGAAATGGGTTGACTTCCCGGTGCCACTTCAATTGTAAATTCAATTTCCTTGTCTATCAATTGCCCTGGTAACTCTTCTGGAAAAATGTCTAGAAATTCACGAACAACTGGAATTACGTCAGTACCCTCATTCAATATTTGCTCTTCCAAAACACAACACAAATACCCTCGGCACCCTTTCTGAATTAACCTACATGCCCTTGTTGCAAAAACCAAATACGGTGGGGAAGTCACCTCCTGTCCTTGAAATGTAGATTCTGCATGACCCGGAGGGTGGAAATTAACTTGCTTCATCAAACAATTTATAGGTGCACCATGTTCACTCAGCCAACCCATTCCCAGTACAATATCAAAACACATCATGTCGAGAGGTAACAGATTGGCATATACCCGAATATCCCCAAGGTGAAGTTCACAAGCAACATATACAGAGGTACAAATCATAGAATCCCCCAAGGGTGAGGACACACACAATATATAAGATAATACTTCTTCAGGTTTATCTAGATTAGGAGCAAATAGTTTCGACACAAAAGAATGGGTAGAACCAGAATCAAATAAAACAGAAGTAGAATGACCGTGAACCATAAATGTACCTGACACCACTGTTGCTGCATTTTGCACATCTCCCGGAACCAATGCAAATACCCTGCCTTACCTTGCCTCGCAGTGTCTTTATTATTGTTAGGTTTGACCGGTGTCTTGGTGTTAGTAGTTGGTGTAGATCCTGTTGAACTAGTGTAGACACCCCATTTTTGACCGTCCTCAAGACTTGGACGTCACCGTTTGAATACTCGGTGATTATCCTTGTTTGTGTTCGTTTGGAGTTCCCGGAGGTCTCGGCTCGCGTGCCCTACCTCAGGATCTCCGAACTCAACCGTTTAGTGTCTGGTTTTGCACCAAACACTTGCATCTTGCCTTTGAGAGGCAGGGTAGGGCTTGTGGACCATCCCCACACCCCACCGGCAGTGGCTAGAGGCCACCAGCTGGTTTTTTGCTGCTATCGGCACTTTTGTTTGCCGGTCGGCACTTTTTATTGCCGGTCGGCATAGTTTGTTGCCGGTCGGCACTGTTTTTTGCCGAAATGGCATTTTTGGGCAGCCGACCACTGTTCATCCACTTTATGGAGATATTTTGTGCCAGCTGTGATAGCTGGCACCAACTCTTCCCCCCTCCATACACGTGTATGGAGGGATCTCCCTCTAAGCAAGCTTGTTGAATAAGCTTTGCAAGAGGGAGTCTTATAAGAGGAGGGCCTTCCTCTTTGATCTAGGTTAGACTCTTGCAACCAAAAACCAGACCTTAGAGATATAGATACATATTATCTCTATACCTTCCTCTCTCTCCTCCTTTGTGTGTGTTTCTTAGCTCAAAAGGTGGTTTTTACCTTACTTTTGCACCATTACACACACCATTACACCTTACTCCAAGATTGAGGGACTTGGGGGGTTGTTTCTTGAGTTTTTGGACTGGTTTTGATCAAAAGAAGGAGGCTAGACCATTTGTTCTTCAAAGGTTCTTCAAGGGTGAGCATCTTGATTTACATTCCCCAAACTTGCAATAGTTTTTTACCTATCTTGCTTGCTGTTTTAGCTCTTGTGTATAACATAAAAAGGGCTTGTATTTTCCTGCTTTAGCACTTTCATTAAGGTCATTTTGTGGTTTGAGTGTAAGCTCACCCTTCTAGGCCTTGTTTGGTCCATTTTGGTGCCTCTTTCATAAGGTTTTGTTCACTTCAGTGTTTTGGTCCTTTGACCATTTAAAATCAGTGTATTTTTAGTGTCAAAAAAGTTGGTTTGAAGTCTTGCATAGGGGAGGGACACCCCTCTCCCTTTATGGTTTTGTTTCCTTGAGTTGTAGCCCAAAAGGGTGACATGCATGCTTGCTTGGTTTTTGCTTCATTTCAGAACTTTTTGGGTGTTTTTAGGTCATGTGGGATCTCTATTTTTGGCTGGATTTGTACCTCCTTGCATGCTTGTAGTACTTGCTTTGTATTGCTCCATTTTGCTTAGAAGTGCATCTCATGATTAGGCCATGATTCTTGTGTGTGTTGGCTTAGTTCCATGAAGTTTTTAATGTTGTTTTTCCATACTAAAAATCTGTTGGTTATCCATTTGTTCATGCTTGACATGTTTGTTAGAGTTGCTATGCATTTTGGCTTAAAAGCTTTAAGTATGTTGACCTCTGGCATGCATGGTTGTGATTACCCTCATGATTTAACACCATCTAGGACCACATTTTAGTCCAAAAATCATGTTTGTATGTGTGC